TCCCCCTCTTGCCTTCTCAAGGGCTTCACTCCTCTCACTCTCCTGCATCAGCACTGCCCATCTCTTCACCTTCTGTACACACCCAAGATTTAATAGTTTCCATCCAGAGTGCTTTATCTCTCACTTTTTTTAAAAATCCAAGCCAAAGGTCATATAGAATTCTACCCAATTTACTACTGCCTTTTCCAGCCAAATTTATCAAAAATGTTACCTCCACTTGCTCATCTCCTGTTTTTCCCACATTCCACTCCAATTAAACGTTCAAATTGGGAAAAGGGAGAGCAGAAATTTCTCTTTTCAAGGGCAACCATCATATGGCCACATCTTTCTAATATATGTGACACCCAAAGCAGCTGTCACTAAGGTAATCAAAGACCACTTTTTTCAACTATATTTTGTCTAACTTCTCATCAGTATTTGGCAACTTCAAATCCTTCCTCATTCTTAAAATGTTTCTCATTTAGTCTTCATGATACCACATTCTTCTAGTTTTCCCTTATTAGTTGACTACTCCTTTTTGGTCAATCTGTCCTTCTCACCTGGCTCACCATTAGAGGTTGGGCTGACCCAAGGCTCCACCTTGAGAACTCTTCTCTAAGTATACTCTTACATAATTTTGAATAAATATACACATAAACTTTACATGCACATATCTATGTGCATGTACATGTATTTGCATGTAGTCTTGATCTGTCCTCTGAATTGCAAATATCTATATCTACTGAACATCTACACTTGGATGTCTCATATTACGTGTCATAAACGGAAGTCGTGGTCATGTATCTCCAATCTTTCTCCTTTCTGTAAATGACACTTCTTCAATTCTCAAGGCAAAATCTTTGGAGTCATTCTTGATACCTCTAATCCCTTTGTTACCCAATCCATCAATAGGCCTCTCAATTCTACCTTCAAATCTTATTTTTAATTTGCCCATATCTCTTTGCAGCCATGACAGCCAATGTAGTTCAAATCTATCAGTTCTTAAAGGACCACTGAATTAAGTTCTTACTTAAATTTTTTTTTCACTTCTGTTTCCCACCCAACCCACACACAACAGGCAGACTATTTTTTACACGTAAGACCATGTCACTGTTTTTTACACGTAAGACCTCTTATTCAAAATAAAATTGAAACCCTCTATTAGCTTCTCATTTGATTTCTTACCATGGTTCGCAAGGCTCTATGTGATCTGACCACTGTTTCCCTGACTAACTTCATCCCCTCATTCTCCCTTGATCTTGCCATCCTCAAACTACACTGTTTTACATTCTCCCAGTACAAGCTTGTTCCCACCTCAGTGCCTTTGCATGAGCTGTTGGCTCTGCTTGGTCCTTCTCCCTGCATGAAATGCTCCTTTCCTGATCTGCACGGCCCTGTCTCCTTCTCAGCAGCTGCGTTTTGGTGCCACTGGTACTACCTCTAAATCAGTCTGTGTGAGGTTGCTCTACATCCCAGTCACTCTTTATGATATTATGGTATCACAAATTATCTATATAGCATTTATCTTTTGAAATTACTATGTTTGTTAGTTTTATTTCACTTGCCTATTCCTCTCACTGTTTTTAATCTCTGTGGGAGCATGAGCTCACCTGTTTTATTCACCACTCCATCCCAGTGCCAAGTAGGGTTTTAAAAACCTCTGTGGAATAAACAAATCACTTGCTAGCAACTTTATTCCTCTTCTTTTCAAGTGTCTCAAAAACTCAAATGGCTCAGTGGAAACAGAAACGGAGTAGTTCTGGGGAAGAAAGTGAGTTGTCATAGAATATATTCGGATGTCTGTAAGTCACCTGTACCTTAAAAATGTTGAGAAAGAACAGTATTCATGTAATAGAATAGCAACTGATACAGAAGCAACTGGCTTTCAAAAATCAAATATGACAAAATTTGTGATAAACCTGATAAGTTGGGGGAAAAAACAAAAATACAAACTATCTTTTATCTGACAAAAAATAAGTCAACTGAAAAGAATGATCTATACAGTGATGAGTTATAAACACAATAAGAGTTAAGAAAGATGATTTTGTTTGCTGCTTCAACCCCAAACAATCAAAGGAATGCCTGGCTATGGTAATTACATAATAAATATTTACTGAATAACGTTAGCTGCTTTCATTTTATTGGCCCAGGTAAAAAGACAGAAAAGAAAAGAGTAGATACATAGACATAAAGACATTGCATGTAAGTATTTGGCAGAGTAGCTGGTAAGTGCTCAAAAATTATTAGCTGATGTCGTCTCATTTAGTCCTCAGGACAGCAAACTCACTCTCCTTGGTTAATTTCATCTCCTCTCCATCACTTTAGAGTGCTCCAGAGTCAGTCCTTTGTTCTCTCTTTTCCGTTTACTCTGGGTGTTCTCCTGTGGCTCTCTCCTAAACTCTGGCCTCTTCCCTAAGTTCCAGACTGTCTTTTCAAATGAATAGCTAATAGGCATCTCACACTTAGGTTTTTTTCCCTCATAATCTCCCTGATCTCAGGAAATAGCAAATCCCTTCTTCCAGTTGCTCAGGCTGACAACCTCAGAGTCATCTTGACTTTTTCCTTTCATTTTCATTCTAGATCTGCTCTGTCAACACGTTCTATTGTCTTCACTTTCAAAATATATTTCGAATCTTGCTACCCATCCCCATACCCGCTCCTAGCACCCTGGCTTGCGCCACCATCATATCACACCTTGATTACTGCACTTGCCTCTTCTCTGCTTCCACCCTTGCCCGCTATGCTCTGGCCTCCAAATAGGTGCCAAAGTGATCATGTCACTCTATTACTCAGAACCCTCCAATGTTCCCTGAGCCACTCAGAATAAAGCAAGTCTTTGCAACGGCCTGCAAGACCTACATGATCACTGATTTTGCACACTTCTCTTCTCCCATACTCACTGGGCTCCTAGTACTCACGCCGGCCCACTGCTCCCCTTGCACTTGCTGTTCCCTGGAATGACTTCTCTTAGATACCTGCATAGTCCTGTTTTCCCCCAGGTCTTCACTCAAGTGACACCATCTCAGAGATGGCTTCTCTGGTCACCTTCTTCATAATTGAAACATTTCTGACACTTTCTATTCCTATTCTTTTCCTGCTTTATTTTCCTCCTTGGCACTTATCCCAAATATGGTGTATGTTACTTTTGTGTCTTGTTATTATCTGTCTCCCTCACTAGAATGTAAATTCCTTGAGGGCAAAGTGTTTTATCTATTATTTTTCCATCTGCTCTACTCTCATGCATCTAGAATCATGTCTAGCCCATAATAGGCATTCAGTAAATATTTGTTGAATGAATGAATAAAATGTTGGCTTATCCTTTTACAGTCAGTCGCAAGTAGAATATCAGGATTTTTTAAAATAGTGTAGAATAAGTAAATTTACATCCATATAGTTACAAGCTTATTGTGCATGTTATAGCAGATTTATTTCTGAAAAATTGTGTCAGACTAAGTATTTATAAGTCATATAATATTTAAAGTGTGCTGGCAACATTTCTATTTCAACGAATCTGTGATTAATCTTCTGTGTAAAACAAAGGACTTCTAGAAAATAACTTGAATATTTTCTCCCTAATCTAGCCTTCATAAGTTAAATATTTTATTTATCAGGCATTCTTACTTCAAAACACACTTACGTATAATGTGTACAAGCAAACAGAAAGCAGCCAGCCCTCAAACTTTACACTTACTTATTTCAGTTCTAAAATTTATTAGCAAAAAGCTTAACAGAAACTCTATAGACTGTTATGAGACCCTTAAGCTACTCTATACAGTTCTATCCTCCCCAAGTGCTGAAGAAAACACTAACACATGATGTAGGTAGAGAAGCTCCCTACCCCTCTGTCCTGAGCCCCATGACTTGTTTGCATTGCTAAGCATATCTGCCTTTCTTTTCTACACTTTGTCAGTGTAACCATTTTTTTTTTTTTTAGAATTCTCAGTGTATTGCGATTTAAGAATAAAAATTTTTTTTTATGTTTTTACAGAAATTGCCTCACCAACTCTGCTATGTTTAATTCCTATTTCCCAAAGAGTAGCTACTCCCTTAACAATCCTTTAAACAAATATCATCATTGTTTGCCATATTTGGCTATTAAAAACTCATCCTGCTATTTAAGACCAAGAAAAGTCAAGGCAATATGCATTTTCTTCCTCTGTTCTGGGGCTCTGTGACCATAAGTCCCATCTAACCTGGGAAATATTTCAGAATGGCTCATTTTTTATTATCAATATGGTGCATGGATTCTACAAAAATACAAAAAAAAAAACCCAGAAAATGATAAAGAATGAAAATGAGTTTCAATATGCAATCTTCATAATGACTATACGTAATGAAATGGTCAGGTGCTTTTTATGTGTAGAATCACTATGGACACAGCAGCTAAGAATCCAGAAGAACACATGTGACATGCTTATGACTGCAGTGAGTGACATGATTTTCTGAAAGAGTAAAAAATTCTTGGTGCATGATCTTTCTTTTATTTATAAAATGTTTTCATTATGGTAAAATTCAGTGCACAGAACAGCCATAAAAAATATTTTAGGTTCAAATATAAAATGAGGTGAGATTCAAGGTTCAAATAACTATAAATACGGTTTTTGTCTATGTGAATATCTGACATCATATTTGACAGTCATGCTGAGATGTGGGACAGCTCATTTTTTATTTTTTTTAAAAGATGACCAGTAAGGGGATCTTAACCCTTGACTTGGCGTTGTTAGCAACACGCTCTCCCAAGTGAGCTAACTGGCCATCCCTAAATAGGGATCCAAACCTGTGGCCTTGGTGTTATCAAGCACCACACTCTCCCAAGTGAGCCATGGGCTGGCCCAGGGACAGCTCATCTTATGCAGCAGGGCCCTGGGAAATGCATGATACCCCACATCCCTCCTCTACATCCACGAAAACCCTCCAAAGACATAGTACACAACCTGAAATTTTCAAAAGGCCTCTAGGAGGCAGTATTACATCCATTGAGAATCATGGATCTCTGGATGGGGTACAACTCTGGGATACTCCCTCCCCCCCTTCTGTCTTTGCTTTCTAGGACCTTAAATCCTCTGATGGTGGTGCAGGATGGAGGAGGAGGTAAAAGGGCAAACATCTTAACCGGGCTTCTTAAATGTTTTCCCTCTGGGTTAGCTGTAATAGCTACCTTAGCTTGTTTGGCTGTAGGTATGCAGTCTTCCCCTTATTTTCTGACTAAAGGCGGGATGGGGATGGTTGGCAATAGTGCCAGTAATCTGATCAAGCTCCTCTTAAGACTCCGTGGAAAGGTGGCCCAACCTGAAAGCTTAGAATATGAAGGACAGGTGGAGAATATAGTGCCACCGGGACTTTTCTTTCTATGTAATTCTGGGTTATGAAAAAACGAACCCACTCCCCTACACTAGCTAGAAGAAGAGTAGCTGAGAGAAGTATGCTGGAGTGAAAACCACCCCAGACCAGAAAACAAACACCTGTGTTGTTAATCTCAGCTCTACTGTCTCTCATTGTGTGATTTGGGGCATTCGAACTCTCTGGACTGCCTTTGTCTCACCTGTAAAACAGGATAGTGAGAAAAGTATATGGCGTTACAACTGAATTCTTTGACTCCTTGGCTTCAATATAACTCTGAACATTGGGAATCTCCATGAAGACAATATACGCTGTCCTTCTTTGTGCATCTGGATGTCTTTGAGGGAGGTAAAAATTTTAATTTCCACTCTGATTGTTTTCATACAGGACCTGTGCCATCGAATTTGGCAAGCATTCTCGAATCTTCTAACAATATACTTCCTCTAAATGAAGTGTTTTCAATGTTAAATATATTAAACATGGTGAATCACAGGATTTTACAGTTGAGACGTCATTTGTTAATAAAATGGAGGTAAAGAATTTGAATGTTTTTCTATGTCTAGGTGAATATTTATGACATAGGTTAAGTGACTTTATCAACACTTACTGATTCTCTTCAATATACAGAAAAAATAGGCTGTAATGAGGGAATAAAAGTAATGACAGTTTTGCCTCTCTGGTAAAGACTCTAATAATCCACTGAGTCTTAGGTTGGGTTACCACAGAGGTTCTTGTCCAAGTGATTTATGGAGTGTGAGCACTCAGGAGAAACCTCGGACGGAGAGAGGAAAGCAGGATGGGGCAGGTGGAGAAGTTAGCCAAAAGTGTGGTTTCGGAAGTCTAGCATCATCCTGAGCCCATGAGTGCTCTGGATGGTTCTCAGTTATGACAAAGATTTTCAGCCCAGATACAAGGGGAGTAGGCTGTTAGGATGACATATCAGCCAGCCATTTGTTACAGGTCACTCTCACAGTCCAGATAGGGGCATAATCTCCCAGGAATCACCAGGTGAAATGGTTTCTATCCTCCAAGGACCCACCTGTGCAGAAGGTTTGCCCTTGACGGTCAACATCTGTAGCTGCTGAACAATGAATACCTCACCCTGGAAAAGGAGATGTGGGCAGAGCAATGACAGCATCTGCTATGCATGGTATTAAAGGAGCCAAACCATGTGCACATGACATCCTTTAAGAGCACCTGTAAAGTTACCTGTCAGTGGGTGCCATCTAAGAAAGTGTAGTCAGAAAGCGTAGAGGTATTGGGCCGGCCCGGTGGCGCACTGGATAAGTGCGCCGCTTGGGAAGCGCGGCGGTGCTCCCGCCCGAGGGTTCGGATCCCACATACAGACGGTTCCCGCTCACTGGCTGAGCGAGGCGCAGGAGCGACCCCGAGGGTTGCGATCCCGTTGCCGGTCCCCGGTCCAGTACGGGGGCAACACTGAGGGTTGTGATCCGTTGCCGGACCAAAAAAAAAAAAAAAGAAAGCGTAGAGGTATAGAGTGAATAACAACAGCTAACATGTTCTGAGTGCTGTCTTTGTGCTACATACACACTGTTACACAGTCCTTACCTGCATTACCTCCATCTAATCCTTTCAACCAATCTATGAGGTGTGCAATATTATTGCTCCTATTTCCCAGTAAACTGAGGCACAGACAAGTTAAGTAACTTGGTCAAGACCACACAGCTAGCAAGTACCAGTGAATGATCATTTTGTTGGCAGTAATAGGTAGTGCTTCCTAGAATAGAGAAAATGAAATCCTAAGCCCTGTCTCAGAATTTTAAATCAAAATCTCTTAGGCTGGGCACATATTTCAACAAGTTCCCTAAAGTGATTCTTACACATGCTGAAATCAGAGTTATTAACTAGTAGAACGGAAAAGTTTTCCAAAATGGAGAAAAATTGTACAAAGGTCAGTTTCAACACGTAAAAATGGTCAGCGGAAATACTTGTGAAGTTTTATATATTGTCAAAAAGGGGTGGGAAGGAAGGTGAGAATAAAGTTGAGAATAGGCTCTAGACTACCAAACAATTATTACACAGCAAGAAATAACCTTTTCATTCTCATATTGTTTCTTAGAATAAAGAACAGCATAGCAAACATAAAAAGCATAGGGAACACTGGGCTCAGGTACCCACTGTGCTGGCTTACACAGGCATTTATTTCTAAAAATATCCTCTTCTCAGAGAAAAACAGGTTATTATAAAATTAAGAAGTAAAATACTATTTTCTCAAAGGTTTTGGAAATGAAAGCATCATATAAATACAAGGAAACAAGTTAGTTGCTGATATATTATTAGTAGAGTATTTCCATGTAGATGTGCAATGTTATGTTCTCAGGAGCAGCATGTGATCTGAATATGTCTACTTTTATAAAAATAACACATTATAAAAATTGGACTAGAGAGACTAAAGGGAAAAAGTGAGGACCAAAAACAGAGAGATTGTAGGCATGATGACACTTGGCTACAATGTAATATTTTCCCAGGCAATTTCATAGGAGTACCACCAGCTACTGAGCCATCTTCCCCATTATTCATTGATGTAATTGAAGAGAGGAGAGATTGCTAAGAGGGCAGAAGCAAGTGTCTATTCATCCTGCATGATGTACTTTGCTAGATCAGACTTGCTATGTCTCCTTTAACCTCCTTTTTTGCTGATCATTGTTATCCAATTCATTATGACAGTTCCATAGGAGGGGGAGGGAGGTTGTGGAGAGGCTGAGTGGGGGACACAGAGAATAATGGCAATTTGTGGTAATGGGCATACCAATAGCATTGATCTGATCATCGCATCTTGGACACAGGTGGTGATAGTCAGCTTTGTACCCCATGAATACGCATAATCAGTTGGAAAATAATAATTCCAGGTATTGTTGGGAGAAAAACCTCTAAATACTAGTTTCTCATTTAAAAGTTTGTTTACTATGTTTCTATTCTATTGGTTCACATTTCAATCTATTATTTATAGTGAATTTATAATGACACTTTTTATATAGTTCTCTTCTAATACCAGATTAAATACTCTAGCAATCTAGGGGATTAATATACAGTCCTCAAAATGACCTCAAAGTAAGCTAAATGGCATAAATAATATGGTGGCAGGCTTTGGAATTAGACAAGAGGTTTGGAAATCCCAAATTTTACGCTGTGCAAAAGACCAGAGGAAAAGAAGAGCTTTAAGTAATTTAGATCATGTACTGACCAAACTGACCCCTCCCTACAAACCTACTGGCAGGTGTTTAGAGTCAGATCTTGATTTAATCATATTAGTGAAGATTATGAAGAAGCTTTAAAGTCCGAAGGCTAGCATGCAGTGCTGGAATTGTTCAGAGAGAGCTCATGAGAAATTGGTTATCATAGAAAATTTAAAATAAAGCAAAGAACAGTTTACTTGGTAAGTTATGAGCTGCGGGAAAGGTTGGCTAAGATTGACTCGAAGTAAATCCATCGATTCAGGTATATGCACAAACCTTCTACCTTTTCAGCAGGCAAAAGATGCCAGTGATCAATATTGAGGACCTGACAGAAAAGGACAAATTGAAGATGGAAGTTGACCAGCTCAAGAAAGAAGTGACACTGGAAAGAATGCTGGTAAGTTGCTGCTCTCTTTTGAAGTTTATTTTAAGATAGAGACACGGTGGGAATATCAGGTTAGAAGACACGGACTGGAGAGGCTCAACGTAGTTAAAAATAAATTGTTCATGTAAAAATTCATCAGAGATTAAGAAAATTAATAATCACAATTGTCTCCTAATTTAGACTCTAAATTAAGAGGTTGACAAACTATTTTCCATAGGCCAAACCCAGTCTTTAGCCTGTTTTTGTATAACGACTAAGCTAAGAATGTTTTCACGTTTTGAAAGAGTTGTTTAAAAAAAGAAAAGAAAGACAAAGAAAGGAAGGAAGGAAGGAAAGAAGGGATGGAAGAGAGAGGGGGGGGGAGGAAGTAGGGGAAGAACATGACACACAGACCATACTTTAGCTAAACAATGAAATGCAGCAACACACATAGGCATTTTGTTTTTACTTAGCTAAACTGATGCTCTTTTTATGTGATGCAATATTTTGATATTGTTGAAATACTTTAAGCTACGACCTCATCCTCTCCAGCACTGTCATGGTCAGTAATAAATGAGTACATTCTATTCGTTTGCAAATAAAGATAAGTTCAAGCACAAGAACTCACTGGTTCCTCCTACAAACATCTGACAGATCTTGGAAATGGTTACCAGGAGCTCTATGCCGTTAGAAGGAACAGAAATGTCAAAGGAATCAGTTTCCACCAAACAAACAATGACAGAGGTTTGGAAAACATAGATATGTATTTTAGATCTCTTCGTTTTAGGAAAGTTAGTGGAACAAAAACTCCTCCGCAAGTGATAACAGCAAATATTATATTTTTTAAGAATCTCATTTTATCAGGACAAAGTGAAAAAAGGAGTTTGTATTATCTTCATACTTTGCTCAAAATTGAGATTTTAGCTTCTTTTGTGTTTATACTGGTCTCAAACTTCCCTATTGCCCTTTCAATACAGGCAAAACATGTTTTGCTATAGAGATAAAATTAAATGGATAACCAACACAAAAGCCTGGAACACACACCAACAAGTTAGCGTCTTAATCTTTATAATTCAGGGAAAATAAACTTTTGGGTTAAAGGAGAGTTATTTTTCTTCCTTATTTGACATATCCAAAAGCTGTTTTATTATTTATATATTCAGGATTGTTGTTTCATAGGCAATTTGGCTGTTTTCATGTTTATTATTCAATTGTGGTGAGTTCACTTTGGAATTTTTATTTTGGGTAAACATCACATACATCATTTTTCCTCAGCCTTTGGAATTTCTTTTCCCCATTACTCAATGTCTTCTTGCTCTTGGAAGTCAAACTAATTTAATATCAGACCACAAAAACTACACACACACACACACACACACACACACACACACACACACACACACACACTGTCTTAGTCTGTCCAGGCTGTTATAACAGAATACCATAGACTGAGTGGCTTATGAACAACAGAAATTTATTTTTCATAGTTCTAGAAGTCAGGAGAAATTTTTTTTTTTCATAGTTCAGAAGTCAAGATCAGGCACCAGGAGATTTGGTGTCTGGTGAGGACCCACTCCCTCTTTTGTAGATTGCTGTCTTTCCCTGTGTCCTCACATGGTGGAAGGGGCAAAACAGCTTTCTGGGATCTCTTTTATAAGAACACTAATCCCATTTGTGAAAGCTCTGCCCTCATGACCTAATCACCTCCCACAGACCTCTCACTTCCTAATACCATCACATTGTGGGTTAGGATTTCAACATATGAATTTTGGTGAAACATAAAATTTATTCTGTTATATATAGAGAGAGCGTTCCAGGTTCTAACCCCCTAGCTCTGATACAGAATAACATAGTGTCAGTACAAATGGTTGTGTGGATAGAATCTGGAACCATATTCCCAGTTAAGCTTCCGGATCCACAACAAATTTATGCCTGTGTAACCCTCACATAAGTTATTTAGTTAACCTATGCCTCTGTTTCTTCAAAATGGGTATAATAGCATCTAATTCAGAGGGCAATCGGGAAGAATAAGTGAGATAATACATGCAAATCTCTGGGAACAATGACTGGTATATAGTAAATGCTTTCTGTTATTATTATTATTATTATTATTGATATATATGAGCCACACTAATTCTTGGTATCCCTCAATCCATTTTGACATCAAGGCACTAGCATTGTCAAAGACAACTTTTTGCATCCAGTTTCTAGAGGTGACAGATTCGCAATCACTACAAGTCAACGTAATAGGCAGTGACCAAAGACAATCTTTATAGTTATAGTTAAAAATATGAGTAACTACCATTTGATTGTGCATCTTCTTTTATCAGGCACTTGTTAGGCACTTAATACAACCAATTTTGCTATTCCTGTTAGATAGACGAAGTAACTGAACCTTAGATGAACAACCTTAACTAAGGTGGCCTGAATCTGATGTCCATGCTCTTTCCACTATGCCATGTAACCCTGTATTAAACTACACATACTTATAATAAGCCTCACTGAAATAATTTTCAAGCACATACACATATATGATTTTAAGTAATTTATTGCTTCTCAGATCCCAGCCAGATACTGTTAAAACCAACCCCTAACATAACTGATTCCTGAATAAATAACAGTGATTTAGGCATCTGTTCTTGGCATCTGGGTGGGACCAAAAGAGCTGGCATTTGGGAGAGAGTGTGGGACCATTGAAGAAAGGGAAAAAAGTGAATCTAAATTGCTGCATATTTCACAAGTGTATGTAAATCTGCAAGTACCGTCTTGTGAAGAAGGAACCTGACCAATGCTTCCTTGCCCCTGGAAGTGATTTGTTCTAAAATGTAGATAATTAATTTGCACAGTTGTAAAATAATCTTAAATTTTATGTCTAATGTTGCTTGGAACTTTCATGTAAAATTGCATAAAGATTTTATTTGAGAAAACCCAGTAAATTGGTTAAATAGCTTATGGAACAGCTACTTAATGGGACTGCCAAAAAAGGAAATTGTTCTGTGTTACGGTCATGAAAGACATATTAACTGAAAACAAAACAACCTGAAGCTAGCAAAGTATGAATAGAATAATTTGATCCCAGATGTGTATATGTATGTGTACATACATACATTTGTATTTACATATATAGAGAATATATGTAAATATATGCCTTTCTCTAGAAGAACTGTTAAATGATACAGTAACAAGCTCTGGCTGAGTCCATTAATATACTAAAGCCTGATTTTTTCCTATGTCATTACTATAATGGTGCAGATGAGTGAGAAACAAGATCATAAACAAAATGAATGACTGAGTTCAGCAAATATTTATTTACTGAGCACCAGCTGAATGCAGACTCTGTTCTAGATGCCTGGGATACACGGAACAAATCAGCCAAAGGTCTCTGACCCCTTGGAGCTCACTTCATACACTGTCATGATCAATCATTGTAGATGAGTTTAAAGAAAAATAACATGTGTATACTTCTGAGAATCCAGGAGTGGTGATAAGTCTGGAATTTAATAATTATTCATTCCCTTCCATTTTCACAAGTCACATTTTTGGAATGAGGAAAAGATTTCATCAGTATTCACTCTGCTGACATTCTTGACTTGTGTTGCCAGCTGTGTTCTGATCCCTGGATCTTGTCTCCTTTGAAGAGGCTGGAGGCAGTGTCTACTGGGAGCCCTTAGTTGGAGTGTGGCCAGTTGCTTATCCTTTGTCTGGAGATATCCAGGAGGACAGGGGAAGAAGCAGCTCTATATTAGTCCATTTCTGTTGCTTTTAACTGAAATAACTGAACTGGGTAATTTGTAAGAAAATGAAATTTATTGCTTACAGTTTTAGAGGCTGGGAAAGTCCCAAATCCAGGAAACACATCTGGTGCTGTTCTTTGGTGATGGCTTTACAGCAACACAGGAATATCACATGGCAGAAAATGGAGCAGAGAGAGAGAGATTCTCAAGGCATGGCTCCACTAAGGATGGCATTGGTGGGGTTTTTCTGCTGGTGGTTTGAAAGCCTTCAGATACTGGTTCAATTACCGTAATAGAATTCCCCACCCTCTTAACACTGTCACAGTGGGGACCAAGGCTCCAACACATTAAACTTTGGGGAGACACAATTCATTTCACTGCACTCCATTCCCAACTCCCAAAACAAATGTAGTTTTCACATACAAATACATTCATTTCATCCCCAAAGTCTTGACTTGTTTCAGCTCTAAAAGTCCAAACTCCCATATGTGAAATCAAAACAAGTTATCTACTTCCAAGATACAATGGTGGGACAAATATAGGATACATATTCCCATTTATAAAGGGTGAAATAGGCCAAAAGAAAGGGGTAACAAGTCCTAAGCAAGTTCGAATCCCAGTAGAGCAGGCATTAAATCTCAAAGCTGGGCCGGTCCGGTGGCGCACTGGAGAGTGCGCCACTTGGGAGCGCGGTGGCGCTCCTGCCGAGGGTTCGGATCCCATGTGGAGACTGGTTCCCGCTCACTGGCTGAGCGCGGTGCGGGCGCGACACCGAGGGTTGCGATCCCTTTACCGGTCAGTTAAAAAGACAAAAAGGAAAAAAAAATCTCAAAGCTGACAAATCATGTACCTTGACTTCATGTTCAATGTTCTCTGCACGCTGGTGTGGGGGTTGGGTCCCCAAGTCCTTGGGCAGCTCTGCTTCTATGGTCTTCTTTGTCTCAGGTAATGCTTTAGCTCTCCCAGGCTGGCGTTGTGCACTGGTAGCTCTACAGACCTGGGGGCTCCATGGTGGTCCCACTCTCATGGCTCCACTAAATATGGCACTGGTGGGGTTTTTCTGCTGTAACTCCAGTCCCACATTTCCACTTGGCATTGCTCTGGTGAAGGTTGTCTGCAGTGACTCTGCCCCTGTAACAGATCTCTCCATGGGACTCCAGGCTTTACCATACATTCTTTGAAATCAGGGTGGAAGCTTCCAAGCCTTCACAGCTCCAGCATTCTCTAAGCCTGCAACCTTAAAACCATGTGGATACTGCCAAGACTTCCAATTTGTATTTTCCAAAGCTGCAGATCCAGCCACACATAGGGCCATTTTAGCCACAGCTGGAGCAGCCAATGCAGTTATGGGGCTGGTTTGGAGAGCAGCATCCTGATGTGGTCCTGGGCAGCGAGCCCATGGAGGATACCTTGGGTCTATTGCCCACTACCACTCTGTCTCCCTAGGCCTCTGGGCCTGTAATGGAAGAGGCAGCTTCCAAAATGCCTTCAAGGTCTTTTTTCACTTCTGTTGATAATCCCTTTCTTTTGTACTAATACACTAAGCAAATGGTCACTGGGCTGTACCATCAAATTTTTCTCCTGAAAATGTTCTTTGCTTCTCTACCACATGGCCAGGCTGCAAATTTTCTAAATCTTTATACTCTGCTTCCCTTTTAATTATACATTCTTGCTTTACATCATGTCTTTTCTGTCATAACTCTGCCATTGCAAGTAGCCATGCAGCTTCTGGAATGTTTTGCTGCTTAGAAATTTCTTCTGCCAAATACCCTGGTTCAGCACCTTTAAGTTCCACATTCCATAAAACTTTTGGACATGAACAGAATGCAGCCAAATTCTTTGCCAGTTCATAGCAAGGGTGACCTGTGCCCCAGTTTGCAAAAAGCTCCTTCTTATTGCTATCTTAGATCTTCTCAGATTGGCCTTTACTGTTCATATTTCTATCAACATTCTGGTCACCACCATTTAACCAATCTCTAAGAAGTTCCAAACTTTCCCTGGCTTTATTGTCTTCCAAACTCCCACCAACAGCTAAATTTTTTCAAGCCTGCCCTTTAAATTCTTCCAGTCTTTACCCATTACCCAGTTCCAAAGCCACTTCCACATTTTCAAGAATCTGTTATAAGCACACCCATTCTTCTGGTACCAATTTTCTATATTAGTCAGTTTCTGTTATTTAGAACAGAAGTGATTTGTAAGAAAAGGAAATTTATTGCTTACAGTTTTGGAGGCTGGGAAGTCCAAAGCCCAGGGAGCACATCTGATGAGAGTCTTCTTTGGTGGTGGCATTACAGAAACACAGGGACCTCATATGGCAGAAATGGTGGAGCACAGAGAGAGAGACTCTCATGTGCTCTCCTTTTAATGCCCTTGGAACCATACCCATGACCACCATTATTAATCAATTCATTAGGGCACAGTCCTCAGAATCTAATTACCTTTTCAAGGACCTACCTTTTAACTGCTATAATAGGATTTCCCACCTTCCTAACTGTCACAGTGGGGTCCAAGCCTCCAACACATTATACTTTGGGGGGACACTATCCCACCCACTGCAAGCTCATTCTTCTTTCCTAGAAGGTATATTGCATTGGTAGAAAGCAGAGCAAATCATGTTAAAAAGAGACAACATGAAAACTTATTGTAATAAATAAATTCTTGGAATCTGCAGTATTCTGTTTTTAACCAAATGAGTCATATCTTTCTTCCTTTTAAGGTGTCCAAATGTTGTGAAGCAGTAAGGGATTACGTTGAAGAAAGATCTGGGGAGGATCCACTTGTAAAGGGTATCCCAGAGGACAAAAATCCCTTTAAGGAACTCAAAGGAGGCTGCGTGATTTCATGAAAAATGCAAAAAAAAAAAACCCCAGAAAACCTTGGAATATCTCAAATTTTAATGACAGTACAAATGTTTCTCATGTGTAATACTATTAAGCATGTACATGAAGTTTTAAATTTATAAATGTAAACTTTCAATAAAAATTGGGATGTGATAACACATAAGCCTATGTTTTTCTTAAAGTATTTAGCCCAGGGTTTAACACGTAATTAACAATAAATATTGATTGACCCATCTTTAAAAATAAGTACTGTTTCATGAATGAGTCTATATTATTTGAGTTGCCAGCTTATAGTTAATGTTTTAGGCTTTTTGCCTTCCCTTTCTCATATTATTCTTCCCAGAAATTTTATGGTTAGGCATTTTTCCCATCCTTTCTCTTGCTTACAGAATTAGGAAGTCTATTCTTTTAATATGCAGATGACCTATCTTGGCAGGATATGGGCTGCAAAGAATTTTGTTGTTGACATTTTATTTTCTGTTTCACTTTCTCCCTCACTATCCAGTCAATGATGACAGTTGTAACATAAACTCTTCCTATATTCTTACCCAATTCTACTTGTCAGTGATGATGTGACTTTTTCCTACAATGCCAACTAGAGTAAAGATTCAATGTGTGGTCACACAGCACAGTGAATTTAATCAGTGCCAGAATAAAGGTTATGAGCACAGATTTAGAAGCCAGTGAGTTCTGGCTCGCCACTTTACTGCCTAACTAACTTTGGACAAGTTACTTAATTTTTTCTAAATCTCATTTTCTTCTACTGTAGGATGAAGATGATAGTGGTTCTGTCCCATAAGTAGGGGCGGGGTGGTTAAATAATATGCTAGTGCATCTATAATACTTTTGCCTAGCACATAGTAAGACCCAATAAGTGTTAACTAGTATTATTACTGGGAAAGGAACTAGACAAAATTTCCAGAATCCTTTAAGATACATGCTGTCCCATCCCATCCCCATGAAGAGTGACCAGCACAGTCTTGTCTACAGCAGGTTGAGGGCAAATGATAAACACATTGCTATCTCCTGCATCATCCTACTAATCAGTTTCCTTCTGGTATCTTATTGAGTTTTCATAAGCCAAATTTCACTACCTTTGTGCTAATGACTAAGAGAGATAATTTGCTTCTGCTTCTTTAGCAAATGGCAAGTTTAATTAGCCCAAATCGAAAAACTATTTTTTGTTGTCAGTGTTTCCTTGTTGCTATCTGACATTTACAGTGCTATCTTGGATACCTCAGTGACCAGAATACTCAGAAATGCTAATTAATTCTCATCCTTTTAAAAACAAGATAAAAATAGTTTATTATTTTGTTTAGAAGGGACTCTGAAGTTCATCCCAAGTTTGGCTCCTTGCTCAGAATCCTTCTACTCCAACCATAATAAATGCTCAACAAATATCTACTGACACTTGTCCAACCCCTTCATTTTGAAATGGAGAAAATAAAGGCTCGGAGAATATAAAGGCCTGGAGAAATGAATTGGTGAATTTCTCATGTCAAGCTTCTGGGTCTCTGGCTGAATAGTTAGCAACTGAATAAACTACAGAATCTCTTTTTCCTCTAGAGAAGGTCTTTTCCTATTTAAAGTTATAGAAAACCTCTCCATTTACCCCCCAGCTGTTTTGATCTCCCTTCTCCACTCTCCCTTCCTCCATAGCACCATCATCATCTACACGTTATTTATTTATTTAATTGTGGTCTGTCTAGGGGTTTTCAGTCTGCTAGTTAGTGATTATTTAGTGAAGTGTTCCACATATATATATATATAGATTTTTTTTTCTTATTAAAATAAATACAAAGTCTTCACTATGGCATTCGGTAACATGTATAGTCTTAACCAACATCTCTAGCTTTCATTTTACAATAGGAGATAGATTTGGAGCCCACTGATTCTAAGTTAAAACTTTGGCTCTTCCATTTTCTAGTTGAGAACTTTGAACAAGTAACTTCAACCAGTTATTTTCATGTACAAAATAAGGGATTAAGATAGATCCTTATATGGATACTTATAATCTCTTCGATCAGAGATGGGCCTATATAAAGAAGCATTATAAATGCCCCCTACTATTGTAAGCCCTGTAGACCTCCTGTAGTCAGCAAACTTAACTGTTTAATAACCCCTGACACGACACCACATTTTCCCACCTTCTGGAATTTCATCATACTGATTCCTTTACCTGAAACGTCCCTACACTCCATCTCATCTCAGCCTTTTGAAATCCTTCTCCACTTCTGAGACTATCTGTCCCTCCCTCCACCTCAAGTGCACTTTGTAGATCCGGTAAGCCATTTAACATTACTTTCTCTCACTATAATCTGTATGATTGTCAATTTCAATGCTACGTGGTAAATTTCCCAGGCCAGAAGCTCTGTTCATTTTTGAAATTGCCATATCAACTAACAAATTGTCTCTACAATTTAATTGACTTCATAAATATTTAATTCAATTAAAAGCAGTCAAGGACAGTGTTTATGAAGTGCTTATATTAGATAATTCACAATCCTTATTGGCTCAATTAATGATTAAATCAACAGTAGCATAAATTTCTTTTTGCTTAAAAATACAGATTGTCGGCAGAATTCTGAATGAGAGAAATCATAGGAAGAAAGTATACGGAAAGATGATCCAGGAAGGAAATGAAACCATTACTGACCCACAGACTACACAGCTATAACTGTTGTTTGCTCAAAAGTTGTTATTTCAGGGGCAAGGGTTACTAGATTAAAGAAAATGAGGTAAGACTACAGTGAAACAAAACATACTCCTGGCACAACCTTAACACTTGGCTCTTCAGCAAAGCTTTCTGATATTGTTAGTGAGAATGAGTTATTATAGATACCACAATATATCATTTGCACTACTTAGCACACATAGGTGAGTTCAAGCTTTAGTAAGAAGAAAACAAAAACAAAACACCGCACTGTTCTTTTAATTTGGGCTGATTTGATTTTTAGCCAGATTTCAATAGAAAACTAATATCAAACTTTCTAAATTCCTAAAAGAATGTATTAACATGAAAGGACAGTAAACTGAGTTATGAGAATAATCAATTACATGTAATGGGAATTAAAGTCTTTTAGGAACAGAATTGATCAGAGAAATCATTTTGATATCATGCATTATAGGTATTTAAGGTAATTGGAGCATCAGACACAGATCACCTTGTGACTTGACTTTGTTACATGAAATGAATGAGTTCCTTTAAATTGCCCTGTGATTGTTTTAACAGATTGAAGCAATTTTCAAATGAACCATCAAATGTGTGTTACTTTCCTTCAAAAAACCATCATTTTAATGGCCCAAATTGTCACCTTTTACTTTATAAATTTTAGAAGAGAAGAATCTGAGAGGTAGCCAAGTTCATTTATGCCAACAAAAGAGAGACAGAGTGAAATGTGTCTTGAAAAAATCACAAGATAAAATAAGACAAGAATCCTGGTCTTTTCTAAGTTCAGGTTAGTATAAAATCAATTCCAATATAACTGCCTTCAATATTTTCTTTTAGAGTTTTCTTCATATGGATTTTTAACAACATACTTAATAAATCAAAAAAAATAGTCAAAAAGTTGTCTACCTTATTTTTGCATTCCAAAGTAAAAATTTCCTGGTCTTTGCTCCTTTATAATTAAAAAATGAAAATGATTACTTTTATTTTTACTAACCAAATTTCTCTAAAACATTTGCCAAAAGGCAGAGGGCTAATTAATAAAAGTTCATTTCTGGTTACACCTGTCATTTATACTAGTAGAATGGTTTAGCAGAATGGTTTCTACTCATACTATTTTGTAAGATAACTTTTATTAGGGGTAATATGTAAAATACAAGGAACATGTTAACACTACATTTGGACACAACTAATACAAACTTTAAAATTTGCTTAATTAAAATTTGTTTATTCAAAACTTTTGAATAGTGCTGACTGAATATTTCTTCAAGAGTACATGAAAAATTGCTCACCAATTTTTCTGGGAAGTAAACTCAATGCTGAGGGATAAAGAATACATACCCTTTAGTTTTTTAAAAAAGTGTTATCATTTTAGCATTTAAAACTAAACAAGAAGTCTGGCCAGTCAGCTCAGTTAGTTACAGCATGGTGTTACACCACCAAGCTCAAGGGTGTGGATCCCTGTACTGACCTGCTGCCAATAAATAAATGAAAAATAACACCAAACAACAAACAAAACATTTTTCAGAATGCTGTGTGATCATGAGATTTCAGCATTTCACGATTCATGTTAGTCTAATGAATTTACTTAATAAGATACTAGGATATGAGTTATTTGATGACAATACTTTAAAAAAGTAGACTAATGTATTTTATCTCTAATTTAAGCCTCATAATACTGTGGAAAAAGCTAAAGAACCAATTTGGGTTTATAAGCATTTATCCTTGTGTAACTAGATGATTTCACAGGGAAGAAATTTTCAGGCCAAAATAATTCTATTTTTAAGACTTAGGATAGACATACATTAATTTATTCAACCAATTTATTTAATTTAGGCGCTGAACTGATTTAATTTAGGCCACATTCACATTCATTACGTTCACTAATTTATTTAAGCTATTTTTAACCAAACTTTCAAATTTAAGAAATAAGAAATCAAAAGAAGTGAACTGGTTCTGCAAACAGATGTGGGTTTTTGTCTTGGCTCATTGCTCACTACCAAGGAAAATTTCAGCAGATGATCTCACTTCTTTGAGACCAGGAGATCCTGGTATTTCAAGTATAGAAAATGAAGCTACTAACATTTTCTTTGTGAGAGTAACTTATCATATACAGACGCATAAATACAAGTAGAGTCATATCATAACTCAACTGATTCACCCCCTTCCCCTGCTCCATCATATATTTTAGTAATCAGAAAACCAAAACCCAGAAAAATTTAAGTGACTTTCCAATGATGGCCAGTGGCACAGCGGGGACTACAACCCAAGTTTATTCGTTTTGCAGCCCATTGTTTTCATTCTAATACATTCATTGAGGGTAAGTGGATGGAGCCTGGTGAGAAACTATGAACAAACAAAAACTTCTATTCACTAAACAGGAAGTGTTTATGGGTGCGTAAGGTCAAGAACACTGAAAAGTTCAGCTAATGCTTCCACTTTTTACTTAAATTTGACTCTAATCAGTCAGAAGGCTATCTCTGGAGAACGAGAAATATCTAACTGCCTGGGAAGATTTCTTACATTTTATTTCTCTTCTAGTCTTTTGAGCACCTTTAAGAAGGTTTAAGTTTATAGTCAAAAAGAAAGTTTATATTGCACGTAAACATTTCTCACATCAGACACTTTCCCTGGCGTTACAAAGCAGCAGCTAGATGACTATTATTTTCCAGAAAGTGGAGAAACCAATACTAAGTGAATCCATTGCCTATGTCCAAGAAGGTATATGAGCCAGGAATTCAAAATTCTTGGTGTCAAGTGTCGCCCAAACTTTGGGGGATGGAGAGTAGGGAAACTTTCTGGTAAGGATTTTAAGATTCCTGCTTCTGCCTTCTCGTATCATCCTCTTATCTTCTAATCATTACAAAACATTCCCCGGATGAAAAAAATAAAAACTCTGCTGTTGAGGATGTAGATGATTATTTAATGACAGAAAATGTCTGTGCAAGTTGTAAACAATATTCACATTCACGCTCCTCCCCCCCCCCCCCCAATGTCCAAATTTCTTTTAGGCCTTTTTCGCAGAATGGGGCTGGGGGCGCGGGGGGCCCTCTGCTGTTGAGGATGTAGATGATTATTTAATGACAGAAAATGTCTGTGCAAGTTGTAAACAATATTCACATTCACGCTCCTCCCCCCCCCCCCCAAATGTACAAATTTGTCTTAGGCCTTTTTAGCAGACTGGGGCTGGGGGGTCGGGGGGCCCACATGTACCGAGCACTGGTATTTCAAATATAGAAAACCCAGCTCCTAAACACTTTTGCATTTCTGAGATCCCAGCTGAGTTTCATTTTCCTCCAGGTTTTTTCTCAAGCATCCGCATTTCCCACAATAACATATATGAAGGGACTTCTAAAACTTCGTGGGAAAATAGAATTAAAAGATGACCCAAATCTTCCCCCGAACTTGTTGAAGTGCCTTTTCATATATAACTAGGGGAAAGTTGTATACTGTGTGTTTTTAAAACTCTTGGAGAGGGAAAGGGCTGTTATTTCCCGCGGGGTAGTGTCCTCCTTTTCCTTGCTTCACAAACAAAACCCGGATGTGACTTGGAAAAAAAAAAAAAAAAAAAAAAAAAAGGGAACAAAAAGTAAAACTTGGTGTCCCCAGCCCAGCCGGTCCTCCGCGGGCGTGGCAGGGTCCTGAGCCAGGGCGTCCCCGGGCCAGCATCCCCGCCGGGACCGAGCTCCGGGGCAGGCCTCCGGGAGCGCGCCGACCGGAGAGAAAGACAGGGGGGTTGAGATCCCACGACGCTGGGAAGGGCCGGCGTGACGAGGCGTCCCAGAGGAAGCCGAGCCCTCGGGGAGCTGGGACCATTGCGCCGGCGGGCGGGGAAGGCGCAGCCCCGCAGCTACTCGGGGAAGCGCCGTGGTGCGCAGCACTTCCAGCGGCTCCGCGGCCCCAGCTACCCCTGGGCCCAGTTCTGGGGCCAAAATGCCGGCCCTTCACATCGAAGACCTGCCAGAGAAGGAAAAGCTGAAGATGGAAGTCGAGCAACTTCGCAAAGAAGTGAAGTTGCAGAGACAGCAGGTAAGTTGACTGTTGCAGAATATTTCCTTCTCTGAAATAAACCAGCGTCAGCTTCTCTTCCTGGTGAATTACAGTAACACAAATGGTTGTGTGTGTGTGTGTGTGTGTGTGTGTGTGTGTGTGTGTGTGTGTGTTTTCTCTTGCAACTTCTCTTTAAGTAGGGCTTTGGCGGTGCCTGGGAACTGCCAGTTGATGTGGGGAAGTCATCGGAAGTAAAGGATCCCGTGAGGAATTGAAAGCCAAATGTCCTAACACTTGAGGACCCTAGAATGGAGGAAACAGACAAGAAATCCTGCCTTCAATTAAACAGCTGGTTTTGAAAACTCAGTTGTCAGAAAAAGGCAGATGGCTACTTATTTCTCTGATCTTTTTTCATTTCTGCAAGGGAATGGTATTTGTAAGAATTTTTCTAAAACTGTATTTTAAAGTCTTACAGCTATATTATATAGTTTTGAATTTCACCGGTGGTCTTCAGGGATGTGCAAACAACAGGCCACTGGGGCTTGGGAGCCAAACATTATAATTTTTATTTTTATTTATTTGTAAATCTTATCTCTATAATTTTCAGTTTATGTTTTATAAGGATGCATAATGGATTAGTACAGTAATATGTGTGTTTATTTCTAAATAAATAATTCTACATCACTAAGATGCATTGAAAATTCTTTTTAGTGATCACAATTAAAAAATTTTAGAGCCCACTGATATGGATTACACTTTCGGTGAGAACATATGCCCCAGTTTTTGGAAGTCTCCACCGAAACTTGTTGAAGGGTTTGTAATTTTTACTTCAATTTCTTACCTGTAATAGGGCCTTTGTTAAGACACTACTGTTTCTTCCTTTTTTACCTAATCAGGCAACCTATAGTCTAGGAAAAGTCTTTTGGATTAATATTTTTTAAAGGAAATTAATCTTTTCTCCACAGCAAAAAAAAAAAAAAAAGTTTGAACTAATCTTTTTCATTTATGGTTTAATACTAGAAAAGAATTTTAAAAAATGGAAATGAAGCAAATGTTGTAAATATGTTCACTTGCCTTCCTGCTCTAGTTATGATAAATCAGTTAATGACAAGAATCTTGTTACTCTTGAGGGATGATTGGAAGATGCAGGCATTTTGGGGGGTTTACTTTTTACATATTTCTTTTCTCACATTTAACCTTTCACTTCCAAATCCCTTCTCTTCCTAGATTTTGTAGTAGAATGTCTTTTCCATCCATGTTGAGAATTTTGTAGTTTTAAGAATACCAATGTGTTTAAAAGATAAAAAGGAAGTTTCAGGACCCAATTAATAAGTTTGTTTCTTGAAGCCTTATGAGACCCATTTCATGGATGGCAAAGTCCCCAACACAGCAAATGTAGGCTACTTAGGTTTTTCACACAATGAACTTTAGGGGTTACATATTAAACAGAGATGCATATCCTGAAGTAAAAGCACTGCCTGTGCAAATTTGTAATATCTTAATATTTGGTATCACTGTGCAGAACTTACAGGGAGAAAAAGTAGGCAAGTATCTTCTAATTATTTAAAGTTTCAAATCAGGTATTTGAAGGGGCCTAGATACAACCGAGTATGTGAAATTAAACATATTCATTAGCTGTTTCTCCCTGTCAGCCACCCCACCCTTTAGGACACACCCTGACAGATCCGCTTTCCAACTCCAGAAACTCCAAGTGTATGCCAGAGGAAGAGAAAATTTCAGGGATATCCTTAGGGGATAGAGGGAGAGACATCCAAGTCCTAATGATAGCATTCAAACATTTTATTATGCACTTTGAATTATTCAGTATTAGTGCTAGGCAAGCATCGTGGCTCTTAGAGATCATTCAACCCCTTCACTTTAAGGATAAAAGAATCCTGAGTCCCAGGGAGACTAATCAGCTCTTCCTTTTAAGAACACAGAAACAGTGATAGGGCAGGTACTAAAACACACTTCTCCTGATGCCTGATCCATCATTCTGTCAATAAATTGTTAACATCTGAACTGTGTGCTCTGCTTAGATCAAGGAGACGAAATTCATAGGTTGCATTCTGGTGCCATCTAATTATTGGTCAAATGTATCCTCTTGATCATGGAAGGAAATTCATTAGATGAGTAATTACTCACTTTTGGAGGTAACAGTCCTCTTTGGAAACTTAATGAAGAAGGCTCTGTAAGAGCAGATGGGGAACATGAATCTTATCCATAGATTTTCCTGGGGCCACAGACCCTAGGTTATAGACACTTGCATCGGCAATTCTGAGAATTTGTTTAAAATGCACACACTAAGAATGTCAACAATAATTAAGAGCTAACATTTTCTGAAAGAATGGTACTTGAAAATATTTTATTTTGCCCATTTTAAGTCATTTAACTATATCACCTAGTTTTAAATTTTAGATCAGTGGCCTCCACGTTGGTGTGCAAAGAATAACCCTTTGGGTATAGGAGAAAAACATTAAAGTTTACTCTTTTCTGTTTTAAATCTCATCCTTTTATAATTTCTAGTTTATATTTTATAATTATGCATGATGTATTAACATAGTAGTATCATTTATAAGTAAATAATTACATACATTTGGGATACATATGCAAATACATTTTGGTGATCATTATGAATGATTTGGAGGTTTCTAATCTGTGTTACAAATTCAGTGGGATTATTTGCCCAGTTTTAGTAGGTCTTCTGAAATTTCAAACTTAAATTTGCTGAAGCTTCTATAATTTTTACTTCTAATTTCTTACGAGTAATACAGGCCTTCGATAAGAAAAACTTTTTTTCTTTCTTTTTTATTCCTTTTTTAAAAAAACCCTCATTGTTGCATCCAATTATTTAATAAGACTTGTTGAAGAAACTATTTAATCCTTTCTTCATTGCACAAAGAGTTCAAACTGATTACATAAACACGAGGGTCTCAGATAAGTCTAATAAGGCTCGGATAAATCTTTTATTATGACCATTGCCTTCCATGCAACAGGAAGGAATTCTGAGCAGAAATATAAAGTGGGAAATTTGGGCAATGCTAACCTTTCCAGAGTCAGGCTTTTTCCCAATGCTTCTATCATTTTGTAACGTTCCAGAACATGGTACACAACCATAAGTGAGAATTCCGGCATGACATACCCAAAAGACTTGAGGATTATCTACTTCTGCACCTGCTCAGTAGCATGGACAATTGAAATTGGAATATGTTTTAGTTCCTAAAATATTGTAGACATGTAATAATTGTATTTTAACAGGAAGGAAATCATATGAGTCACAATGGGTAGAAATTGCTGAGGATGATCTATTTAATACAGTGACTTTCAAACTTTTTGATTCTAGTAGTGATAAACACCATAAATTGTATTATATATTCATACATATATATTAGAATAAAAATATTGTGTGTAGCACAGAGATTATATATATATAAAAATTTTTAAAAAATTAAATGCTGGTTGTACTCAAGTATTTAATTTCACTAAAGGATGGTGACAAATTTTGAATAACCCTGACCTAATTCATTTTTTTTTTCATACTTAAGGTGTCTAAATGTTCCGAAGAAATAAAGAACTATATTGAAGAACGTTCTGGAGAGGATCCCCTGGTGAAAGGAATTCCAGAAGACAAGAATCCCTTTAAAGAAAAAGGCAGCTGCATTATTTCCTAATTAACTCTGGGGAGAAACTTCATCCTCAGTGGGAGAGCTAGTTTGTTTTAGTTTTTCCAAATAAAACCAACATGTCTTTTAAGGATAGCAACATGAAATTTAAAGAAGACTTTCTTAAGCACTATATAGATAGGGTTATATATAAAAATATATGTGTTTCTCATCTTTGCTCACTATGCACACTTTTTTAAGAGGGCAGGGAGTATCGAATGTACAATTATGGAAATAAGGACATTACTTGTGCATGACTCACTTCTTTCAGCATATTGCTTGATGCTTGATGCCTCAAATAAAGTTTTATCTTGGGAAAATGAGTGTTGGCAATTTAAGAAGGCACCGTTCATGAATTAACTTTTATATTTCTTCCCATAACCTTTCGGGTGTTTGACATAACGGTTCAAAGATTAGGTGGTTTGATAGATCAGGTCTTCAATCCAGCTCTCTCTGCTTCAGAGGTTTACAGTGCCGCGTTCTGACTTCTGGAATATGTTTGATCTATCCTTAACTGTAAGGGAACTGAGCGTGTAGAATATCTAATAATGTTGACAGGAGTCAGATTATCTGAGTCAGGAACCAGGCCAAGCCATGTCTACATTAGCATTTCCCTGGTGTATCATCATTTAGATCTTGTTCAAATGCTCTGCAGTCGTGGCTTTGGGAAAGCGACCAGGGTGAGTTGGGGATCAGAAAGAATACCCCACCTCCCTGCAGCACAGGGGCAAGCCAGCTCTGGCTTTGGGTGCTGGTACCTTTGCCCGCACAGAGCTACAACTCCCACATGTTTGGCAGATCTTGGGCGTGGCTCTGTCCCAGTTCTGTGACAGACATTTGGATCTCTGCAGCCCTCCTGCCAACTTTTTCCAGCAGGCCAGTCTAAGCATGCCTTTTTCTTCTCCTCCAACGGGATCAGTGAATCTTTGCCCATTTAAAAAATTAGTGTGCTTTTTTCTTACTGATTTGTAGGAATTCTTCTGACCGTTCATCTTTTGTCTGTGATATATGTTGCAAATACTCATACCTTCTCCCAGTCCATGGCTTAACTTTTCACAGTGACCTTAGCGGTTTCAGCCTGCAGGTGCAACATGCTGGAGTACAATGCCTGCTCAAGTCCTTTTAGAAGGTACCTGCAGCTGAGACCTCAAAGAAAGAGACATTTCTTCCTCTCCTAGAGCATTTTTTTCCTTTTCTCCTTTGTCTTTTGGATGCAAATTGCTCCAGGCTCGGGCCAAAAGAAAAACAGGCAAAACTCTTGTTGGTTAGCTCTAGCTCAAGTGGACTTAGTTACTAACTTGCAACTTTAAACGTGGCACCAGAAGCCCACGTTTCTCCTTGACTAGATCTTTTCTCCCACTTAGATGTGTAAATGTACCTTACTTATCAATCCAGAGCAGTGCCTGGGACTTATAGCAGCTTCCTGAAGTGTATCAACCAATGTCCTTGTTCTGAAATTCCTCTTCTTTCCCTCTGTGAAGGAACAGGATACCCCAGGCTTTTGAAAAAGTAGGTTACACTGTTTCCTTCAGTTTCCTGCCATTTTCTGAGTGGTGACATCAATTGGGATTACAGATAGCCCAGGAATAATTTTAACCCAAAGAATGATCTACTGCAGGGTAAGGTTTAAGAATAGAAAAGGCCTATTACTTCCAAGCACCATAGTACAATTAGTATTTAGGATGTGTTGCTACTAATTTAACATGGCATAGGATTTTAGTACCTTGGTGCTTTTAAAGTTCAACTTTCATGATCTGTTTCATTTCTTTACAGTCACAAATTTTTTTGTTGTTGTATAAGAAAGCAAAGATCTACAGTTCTGCTTTGCTTGACGATGGGGAAATGTTCTAAGAAATGTATCATTAGATGATTTTGTGGTTGTGTGAACATTACAGAGTGTACTTACACAAACCTAGATGGCATAGCCCACTATGCATTAGGCTGTATGGTATAGCCTATAGATCCTAGACTAAAAATCTGTACAACATGTTGCTGCACTGAGTACTGTAGGCTTGTAACACAATGGTAAGTATGTACCTAAACATATCTAAGCATAGAAAAAGTATGGTAAAAATATGGTATAAAAGATAAAAAATGGTACACCTGAATAGGGCACTTACCACAAATGGAGCTTGCAGGGCTGGAAGTTACTCTGGGTGAGGCAGTGAGCAAGTGGTGAGTGAGTGTGAAGACCTAGGACGTTACTGCACACTGCTGTAATAAAACACTGTACACTTAGGCTGCACTAAATTTTTTTTTTCAAATTACAAATTAACCTTAGCTTACTACAACATTTTTACTTTATAAACTTAAAAATTTTTAAACTTTTTTACTCTTTTCTAATAGCACTTAGCTTAAAACACAAACACATTGTACAACTCTATAAAAATATTTTCTTTATATCCTGATTCTATGAGTATTTTTACATTTAAATTTTTTGTATTTTATTTTATTTTATTTTTTACTTTAAAAATGTTTTTGTTAAAAACTAAGACACACACTCATTAGCCTAGGCCTACGTAGGGTCAGGATCATCTGTCTTGCACCTCTACATCTTGTCCCACTTGAAGGTCTTCAGGGACAATATCATTCATAGAGCTGTCCTCTCCTATGACAACAATGCCTTCTGGAATACCTCCTGTAAGACCTGCCTGAATCTCTTCTTGTGCAGCTGTTACTCTTTCCAGAAATACATCCATGGTGCTTTACTTGATTTGTTTCTTTTTTTCATCATGGATTTGCTTGCAAGCAGATAATACTCCATGAACATTCTTTCCTATTAATGAAAATGCTATGGTGTTGGGGTCCATGTTTTCAAACTTTCTAAGGAGTATGTTGAGATCTGCAAAAGTTTCTGCTAAACCCTCACTGTGAATTTTCTTGGGGGTCTTTTTCTTCTTCAGTTTCCTTTTCTCTTGCCTGTTCTTCAGTTATGTTTTCCTGTTCCAATTATAACAGCTCCTCATTAGTCAGTTCTTCAGGAACCACTTCTAGGAGCTCATCTACATCTAGAACCACTTCAGGAACCACTTCTCAGAGCTCATCACATCCAGATTAAAGTTGTTTGCCATCTCACCTCTAGCCTTGCAGAGTTATGCCACCTCCAGATCCTTCGCAAATCCTTTGAAGTCATGGATGAACCTGTTGAGTGTCTTCTTCCAGATGCCATTCACACACTCCTTAGTGACATCAGCCAAAGCCCAAGCAAGGTTCTTGATGCAGTTATAGGTGTTGTAATCCTTCTAGAATTGCATTGTTGTCTTCCTCAGTTGCAGCAATAGCTGGGGCAAAGGTAGTAGGCTTTAAAAGTTGCTATAGCTCTTTGATCTATTGATTGGATCAAAGAGGTGGTGTTTGGAGAGGAAACACTACTTTGATATTGGGATGAAGATCAACAGTAAAAGGAAGATGTGTGGGAGCATTATCAACAATAAGCAAAATCTTGAAAAGTATGTTATTCTCCGTATAGTATTTCATTCCACTGGAATAGCGATTGAGAAAGAGCATCTTGGAAGAGAAGCTGGGTCATCCATGACTTTGTATTGCTCCTGTAGGACACTGCTAGTGTGTGCTTCTTTATACTCTTGAAGGCCCTGGGTTTCTCATTGTGCCAGGTCACAAAGAATTTTAATTTGTAGCCTGCAACATAGCACCAAGTAAGATTGTTGTCCTATCCTTAAAAGCCTTGAAACCTGGCATTGACTTGGCCTCTTTACGGATGAAAGTCCTTTCAGACATCAATTTCCAAAATAGGGAAGTTTTAACTATGTTGAAGATTTGCACTGGCGAGTAATTTTTCTCCACAATCACCTTATTTAGAGTTTCCCAAAAATTTTTCATGCACCTTCACATCAGTACTCACAGACTCACCTCTCACTTTCACAGAATGTAATGAATAACCATTCTAAAATTGTTTAAACCCACCAGAGTTAGTAGTAAATTTGACATCATAGTGGGGTCGAGCCTTTTCTTTCAACATCACAAACAAACCTTTTGCTTTGGCCGTGATCATCATGTCACTGAGAGAGAGACGCTTCTGTGTCCAATCTTCAATCCAGGTCATTAGAAGTTTCTCCATATCTGACATAGGCCCTTCTCGAATTTTTGTTAGTCTCATTGACTTCAATAAAGCAGTTCTTTTAACAACTTTTGCCACTTTGTTCTTGTTCTTCAAGATTGTAGCTATGGTGGAATGGGTTATGCCTAACCAGCAAGCAATAACCATCACTGATGTTTCACCTTCCCTAATCCTAGCCCTTAACCACTTTTAATTTAGTGTCCAGGTCAATCACTTTACGTGGCAATATTAACAATGGATTTTGTGTGATTGGGTCATGATAAACAAAACAACATGAGATTAAATCAAGCACAAGAGAAAATGATACCTTCCAGAGACATACAAGGCTGTAACATGGTGTACTGTTTTACAGTAAATTTATGTATATACACACACACACACACACACACACATATATATATCTATAAGGGGTACTCTCTAAAGTAATGATTAGAAGTATAGTACAGTAAATACATAATCCAGTAACATAGTCACTTATTCTCTTTAGTAAGTGTTATGTACTATATATAACTGTGTGTGTTATGCATTTATATGACTGGCAGCACAGGTTTGTTTACAGCAGCACCACCACAAACACATAAGTAATGTGTTGAACTATGACGTTTCGATGTAACTAGGCCATAGGAATTTTTCAGCTCCAGTATATTGTATACGTGGCCTGTTGTTGACTGAAATGTCATTATGCGACGCATGACTGAATTCTGCTTACTGGTAAGGCATATCACATCACCTGCATCCTTCATGGAGGGCCAAGACAACACAGGTATTCTTGAGAGTTGTGATTACAAGGCTGTGTCCTGAATTTCTATCAGCTACATTCAGCTATCCATTCATGAACACCCCGAAGTCCTAGCTTTTGCTCTTTATGTCTTTTTCAACCATGTAACAAATTAGTCAGTGACTTCTGGTTTTTCCTTACTAAATATCCAATCTTGTAGGTGTTTCTACTAAATCTAATTTTGTTTGTTTTTTTTTTTCTCTACTGTTTTATCATCATAACTCAGCAAACACATAGAAGTGTAATAAAATTGCCTTGTTTTTCGAGGATTCAACTGCTAAAAACTTACTAACTTGCATTAGGAAGAGAAAGAAAAGTACAGCAGCTATATATTTGGATATATGCTAAAATTAACCTTTAGTAAATGAGAATTTGTTAAGTAGAATTTAAATCGTGTTCAATTTTTTTCAAGTATGTAGTTTCATAATTATTAGGTATTTGATTAGAAATAGTTACCATTTTTT